CCCCAAAACCCCAAAACCCCATGATTACTGAAAATTTAATTGTATTAAAGCTTATAATTTCTGAAATAAATTTTATTCTTACTATTTGATGAATATCATATTATAATTAATATTGAAAAAAGCCTAAAATGAGCCACTAAGAATATCCAAATTTTAAAGCAGTTCTATATTTATCTGGATGTTTTTTCTTGTAATTCATAGCAGCGACATCAGTATTAAATGTGGTGTCAACTACCTTAAAAGATTGTGGCTTTGAAAATCTAGGATTTTATAGTTTGGCAGTTATTTATATCGTGTTTGGACTAAGTTCATTAATAGCTCCACCTATCATAAGGAAGTTAAAGGCAATCTTATCAATAGTAATAGGATCAATATGCTACATTATATGGCTGATAACTTTATCATTACCAGCAATATTATTGAAGAGTGATAAACTAAAAGAGATTTTGACCTATAATCAAGTAGTAGCTATAGTTATAATAGCAAGTGTTATTATGGGTTTCGGAGCAACATTACTTTGGGTAGGACAAGGGAAATACCTTTCTGATTGTTCTAAACATAAAATAGAGAAGAAAGGTGTCTATTCCAGCATCTTCTGGGGAGCTATGTTTTTCGCTTCTTTTCTATCAAGTATTTTGAATGCATTAGTTCTAGGCTCATATCCGCAAGAATATCTCTATATAACATGCTCTTTGATATCTCTTTTAGCAACCATTTTAATGATATTTCTGCCTAAAATATAAATTGAGGAGCAGGAATAAAAAGATGAAAGAACTGGCAAATCTGATATAAAGGAACAGGAAAAGCATGGTATAATTAAGCTGATTTCTGATAAGCAAATGATCCTAACTTATGGTATATCATTGGCTACTGCTCTTTCCCTAGCATTTAGGTTATCTGGATTATTTAGTTTCCTAACATTAACTCAGTCTAACGAAACAATCCAAAATAAATTTAAAAATGCTTCGTATGCATAAGCATTCCTAGGATTAGGCTAATTAATAGGAAGCTTAGTGTTTGGATATTTAAGTGATAAGCTTAAAAGTAATTTTAAGATGACACAGGCAGCAATAATAGTGCATATCATTTCATATTCCTCAATGACATGGTGTATTGAACTCTATAAATTTGGAATCTTAAGCTTTTTCACCTGCCTATTTTTAGGTATCTAAGATTCATACCTTTAGAATCAAATGCAAGTTATTATGGGAGCAGAATTCACCTAAAGTATAGAAGCTTTTGCTATCTACAGATTATTTAACTCAGTTGCTGTTACATTCATCCTCATTATTATCTCAAATTTGACAAATTTGGAAGGATTCAG